CGGAAAACAGTGCCTAACCTCCTAGCGACAGATGACTGACGGAAATTATTTTAGGAGAGATAAGAAAAGACAAAAAATAATTAACAGCGACAAAAGAGAGGTATTTGTGGAGAGTCGTGATCAACAACATTCTGAGCAGTCACTGTACGTGCAAGAAGAAGAATACTGAAGCCGTTTCTATGCAGGAAATATTGTGAATTCACTGGCCAAATAGTTACCGTTAATATCAATTGATATTTATAAAAGGTGAACTCTTTTTCATCATTTTTCCTGGATCTTAACGGATAAGAACTTATGGAGCGTGCAGTCGCAACGCTAAGGTTGAATTTTTCTAAAAAAAAAACATATTTCGATTCGCATTTAATTTTTCGTGTCCGCTATTACCTGGATCTACAAAACAAAAAATAATTTCCATGCCCGAGGATGGTTGAATGTAGAGCCGAAAGTACTAGCAGATTAAAAAAAAACCTTATACAACTTGAAGTTATGAAAAACAAGGATCATAACATTCATCGAGTGATTCGTAGTTTAATGTAACTTTAAAATTGTTGCGAAGATGTTTTTCGCCATTTATATCATTAACTTTACTAATCTACTTCTTGTATGAATGATTCATGTATATATATATATATATATATATATATATATATATATATATATATATATATATATATATATAGCATATTTTCTTTGAAGCATGTTTAGTTAAATAATTCCGACGTATTATGTCTATTTATTTTAGTTTTAATCCTTTCAAGCTCACGAATTAATTTCTTGGTGGCTTTAGAAATTTGATTAAGAAAAATTCCAAAATTTTCTTTCAAATAATTTTATTTTCTCAAGTACTTTAAATCTCATTAGAGACCATCTTCAGGAGTTGCATATCTATGGATGTGTTATGCGTTAACACCGTGAATTCAAAATATTTGTCACTGATCCAAGTAAAAAATCAAATTAATCATACACTATACTAAATTTAATACAACCAACCTTATTGTCCAAAACAATTCCTCTCCTCCAACTAGCATCTTCCAATAAGCTAACATTGTATATGAATTTAAATGCTCTTTAGGAGATTGTATCTCTAATAAAAATTTCAATACGTACGTTGGCTTTACTACGACGATGCTAACAAAAAGGCTTACATTTCATTTGTCTGAGCATAGTTCAATATATCAGTATTGAAAGGAACATTCATGCACTCACATTAGACGGATTTAAATGATGGATTTAGACAATTTAAATGTCCTTTGGGAGATTGCATCTCTGATAAAGATGTTAATATGTAAATTGGTTTTACAACAACGACAATGATGAGGGGGCTTACGTTTCACTTGAAGGATCATAATACAATCTCAGATCATTTAAAGGAACACTCATGTCAAAATTCAAAGTTTAGACAGATATTAGTCGAAAATACTTCAGTACTTCAAGATAATAATAAGCAAAAAGTTAAAATTCTGGAAGCCCTTTACAGAAGAGAATTGCGGCCCAAAATAAATAAAGTCAACTGCGAATATAGCAACAAAATGTTATATAAAAGCAAAGTGTTATATAACAAATATTAATTTAAAATACTATAAGTAAAAAATGTTTAAAAGAATTTTTGTTTATTAAGCAATTTATTTATTTTCGTCTACAGGCCTTAATGTTCGAGAAATCTTATTAAAGAAACGGAACGTCTACTCAAATATGAGTATCCACTAAAAATTTAAAAAAAACGTTTAAAGTGATAAAAATCTGTCGGGTTAATAAAAAAACTTCCAGAGATCTATGACGAGAGGTTTCATTTAAAGGTACAATTCGGCCTTGCCTGACTAACTGGTATTTATAGCTCATTCAGTCAAAGCCTATCGGATATATATATATATATATATATATATATATATATATATATATATAAACATAAAAATGTCTTAAAAATAATTGTCGGACTTTGTCCATTTCATAATGTGTGACGTCATTTGTTTACATTTGGATGCGCTTTGAGCAGATATGAATGTACGTGAGAGATTCATAGAAGATTAAAGTTTAAATACAGTAAATTCGACCTGGCTAACCGAACGCTCTTCTGTAGCCAAATCGGTTGAGGCACGTCAAGCTAAATGACGGTTCTGTATACGATGCATGTTCGATTCCTGTCGGAGGACGAATATTTTCTCGAACATTCAGGCCGGTAAATGTTGTTTAATACTGTTTATTATAAGCAGAGCATTTACTTAAATATTTGTATCTATAAAAAGAATGTATAAACATAAAAACGTCTTAAAGTAATTGTCGGACTTTGTCCATTACATAATGCGTGTGTGTGTATATATATATATATATATATATATATATATATATGAAAATTTCTCCGATTTAATCGGTAGAGAAGACAATATTTATGAATAAAAATGACAATAGGAAAACTGGTAATTGCTGACTTTAATGAACAAAGTAACTAATAAAAACAAAAACAGAATGTAAAGGTTGCTAGGTACATTCTGTTTTTGTTTTTATTAGTTACGTTGTTCATTTAATTTCATTTTCGTATTTTGCTTTGATAAAGTCCACATTGGACGAAACGCGTCAGCAATTACCAGTTTTCCTATTGTCATTTTTATTCATATATATATATATATATATATATATATATATATATATATATATATATATATATATATATATATATATATATGCAGCATATTTTCATTCAAGAATGTTTGGTTAAATAATTTAGACGTATTATGTCTATTTTAGTTGTAATCCTTTCAAGTCCACGCATTGTATGACGAGAATGTTTACATTTCACTTGAATGATCATAGTTCAATCTTCGAACATCTAAAGGAATACTCATGTCGACATTCACAGTTTAGACAGGTATTAGTCGAAAATTCATCAGTACTTCTACAAGATAACATTATGCAAAAACTTAAAATTCTGGAAGCCTTTTATATATAAAATTCTAAATTAAAATACTACAATTAAAAAACCTTTTTAAAAAATCACATAAGTTACCTCTCTTGCATCGCGGTGAAAACATATTTTGAATTTATGGTGTTAACGCATCCATAGATATGCAACCTCCCTGCATTGTAGAAACCCTTGCTGTTTATATCTACAAATAGCCTATACCTGAACATGTATATTTTAACGTTATTTTAGTGGATATCTGTGTTTGAAATAGACGCCCGCTTTTATATTAAACGGTGTGCATTATGTTTATCAGCCTTCACATTCGAGAAATGTTAATAAAGAAAATGGGCTCTCCGACGGGGTTAAGACTTCTTGGGTGCACTGGCGTATATAAACGTAATAAACAATACAAAAAATACAAACGGGGCGTCTATTTCAAATACGGTTATCCAGTAAAATAACGTTTAAGGTAATAAAAATTCCGGGTTAAAAATAAATCTATTAACTCTTTATACACATATGTTTTTGTTTGTTTTTTTTACAGAAAGGTTCACCCTATACAAGGCCTGGGTGGCACTCGAGGTAGAGAGTTACATTAAGGGGTAATTTATATGGATAGGAGGGGAAGATAAAGGTTAACTCTAGACTTGAACAGGTTAAGAAGATTGTAGTGATCAGGGAAACATCCTCTTGGTAGACTGTTCCGCGGGGCAGTTGTTCGTGGGAAGAAGCTGTTTGAGTGGGAATTAGAGTATTTTGCCACGATGTAAGTGGCATGGCGGGGGCCTAGGCGTGAAGGTCTGACCTGGTGAAACCAGAAGATGCAGTTCTTCTGAGCACTTTCTGTGGAAGTAGCGACAGAGCGGTGAGAGATTCGCCACATACAACCTGTGAGAGAGAGAGGCTGGAGGTGTAAAATAATTCTTCTCCAACAAGAGCTCGGAGACGATTTTGAACTCTATCAAGGGGAGTGGGGTCTGGGCAGCTCCTGTCCAAATATAGCAACAGTACGGTGGCGTAATAGCGGCTCGGGTTGAGAAATCGGAGAGCCGAGTTCGAATTCCAGTCGAATCCATTACATTCATTTACGTGCTAATATCCTTAGGAAAGGCATGAATACTCTTCTCTCCCCAGCTATGGGTAAATAACACGGCAGACCGGGTTCTATAACCGCAGAAAGAAATAGCAACCTACAGAAAAATCTGCTTCGTCAGTCATGTATCGAAAGATACATGATCGCCTAAGCGTGTATCACGCATGGCACATAACTGACTCGATTTTGTAGCCTTATGAAAGTAGAGGATAGCATAGAGAGTCAGGTACTTACTGGAGCGGTACAGGGAGCCGATCATTTTGCCTGCATCTTTAGTGGTGGATTGTATATAGCAGTCCCACGAGATCGGATATTAGTTTGAGGCCCAATGTCACTAGTATTGTCAACGTCCTGAAGGGACATGGCATATAACAAAAGTAGCTTGGTTTTAAAACTAGAACATTGTATGGTGTACCCGATGAGGATTAAAGTCACTATTGATATTGAAAGATCTACAAAATCTGTTCATAGCAAATAAAGTACAATTTCTCAATGTGTGTGTTGGTGTGCCTATGTATGCGTGTGAATTATAATTACTTTTGTATGTATACATATATTGTATGTTAATGTATACGTGTTTGCGTACGTGTGTCTGTGTGTGTGCGTGAGGGTGTAGTTAAAGAAAGAAAAAAGAACAGGCTCTTTGTACCAATTATCAGAGCGGCGACGGCACGTCAAGTTTCTTGTTTGTCGAGTTTGTACAATACCAAATTAGGAAAACGCTACGAGCGTTGTAAAAATCGGCCCATTGATAAAGTCGGGTCCGAAATTGTCGAAATGACGTGGAAAAAACGTGCTTTCTGTGTCGCCGCCCATTCATAGATAGATAAAGAAAGAATGTCGCCTACAACGACAATCCCACACTTTCACATTCCAAAAGAAGCGACCGTCGTGTATATAAAGAATCAACCTGGGGTAGAAGTCAAAAAAGCGATTTCTACTCGACGGATCGTATCAAGATAATACCTGCAACACCTCGTGTTTGGGAAGAAGGAAAAAGAAAAAAAAATGAAACGTTCATTGTTCACAACGCTACTTACAGGACTTTTACTGGTATGAAACATTTTATATTTTTTCTTTCTTCTTCTTCTTAGCTGTAAATTATAAAAGATAAAATCGATATATTCCAATATTTATTTATATAGATATCAAACTTTATATACAGCCACTTAAAAAAAAAATAAATAAACAGTTTTCTTTTCTTTCTTCGACTGCTTACGAATATTTAGTTCAAGAAATATTAATTTTAGAAAGTGTTTAGCCAAGATGTGTTCAGCCTCTGCCCACAGGTCCCATATTAAACCTGAGTTGAATATCTTATCTCAGATTTTAATATGCAAATCAATATTCCCACAGTAAAACGTGGGTAAGACGTTAAACTACATCCACGTCCTGGGTAAGACGATAAACTACGTCCAGCAGCAAGGCCTCTGATCAGGAGGTTTTGAGGAGCGTGGAACCAACTCATAATTACTGGTGTTCCAAGGTACACCCTGACCTGAGGTGGTAGCACCTGTTAGGGTCCCAGCTCTGGGCAAATAGTTAAATATTACTAGCAATACTTTTTTGAAAATAATTATTACCAGCAATGCAATTTTGAAGGAAATCATTTCCGGAAACATATTTTTGACAAAACAAAATATTACCAGCAATAAAAACTTTTGGCGGCTTTAAATAACCCATAGAGGTTGATATGCCGTTAAACAAAATAAACCAAACCAATCTAAACCAAAGAATACATATTCTATTCATACGAATCCATCCTAAAAATGTTGTTGGCATTAAATAACCCATTGAGGTTGATATGCCGTTAAACAAAATAAACCAAACCAAACCACAGTAAAACTGGTAATACCTAACCGATAATAGGATTCTTTTAAGCTATATCTTCATTGAATATTAAGATAGGTTCCTACTGGACATAAAAAGGGTGGTCGGTTTTTTACGTTTCTTAATAAAATTCATTTCACCCAAAGCAAGGCAATAAAGCCACTAGGGCACAAAGGAGTTACTGAGTGTTAGAAAATATGATAAAAAATGATATTAATGAGAAAGGACAATAAAAATACAGATGTTAAGAAGAAAGAAGATAGCGAAAGAGAGTTCCACAAGCAAGAAGTGTAAAAGAAGAAACTGTTAGCATAGAACTTGCGGTTACATCTAGCTATTTGAAATATAAATGATATTAAATGACAAATTGATCCTTTCCGTCAGATTTTAATATGCGAGTCAATATTTACAAGGTAAAATTGATATTAACCAAGCAATGTTTGGAAAATTTTCAAGATATATTTATTTTAAATATATGTTTCTACTGGACATAAAGTGGGGGATAGGTTTTCTATTGTTAATAAGCAACAAACTGACCCCTCCTGTCGGACTTTATTATGCAAGTCAATATTTTCAAAACAAGATTGATATTAACCAAGCAATGTTTGGAAAATTTCCAAGATATATTTATTTTAAATACCGTAATTACCCATGTATAATACGCTTTCATCTATAATAGGAACCCCTAAAATAGTGCTGAAAGTGTAGGAAAATGCTTCTACTCACGCATAATACGCACCCCTTGTTTGGTAATCAAACCCTATAAATTGTACGTCTCCAATTTTATTACGGCCAACGTTTCCTACTCTTATTCAAATTGTAATTGAAGATATTTATCAAAATTTCCGACCATTACGATTCTAAAAGGAAACGGAAATACTTATATTGTGCCTACTGCGCAGACTCACTAACCTGTTTTTGTTCGATATAATCTACCGGATCTGTATGTAGTTCGTGTTAGATGTATATAGTTCGAATTGTGTTTAAAAAGTAGATAAAATAAAATTTGGTCTGAGAAATATTTAACAAAGAATAGAATGAATAACGGAACAAAAAAATCAATTCAATGAAATTTGTTGATCTTGATTATGAGTGTAAAAAAAATGGTTTTAAATATAGAATAATATTATTCTAATTTAGTTTTATGATAATCCTTATTTTATTTTATATTTGTAAGTATTGTTGGGTACATAGGATTGTATTTAACATCCTTATGCGGTCGCAATCGCCGAATGTTAGTGTCAAATTATTGTATGTTTGTGGTGAATAATCATTTCGTAACTGAAATCTACCCATGAAACGGCAATTTTTTAAAGATTTTTTTCTAGCTGTGCACAATACGCAGCCCTAATTTTGCTTATTATTTTTCTTAGAAAAAAAAAGCGTATTATAGATAGGGAATTACGGTAGTTCACGGAACAACTACTTCATGTACACCAAATTCCACCTACCAAAATAAATTCCATTTTCATTATTTAACGTGTTGATATAGACTCAGACATTGACTTGAACATCTTTTCCTATTCCCGTAGCTAACTCGAAAAGGCTTTATCATACACCAACAAAAACAGGTACTACCACCCCGGGTCAGGATGGACCTGGGGACAACAGCAATTAAGAGGTGGTTCCACACTCCTCAAAACCTCCTGATCAGAGGCCTTGCTGCTGGATGTAGTTTATCGTCATACCCAGGATTAGGGATTTTCTGATGAATTTTAATTCTGAAATTAATGATTGAATAAGCTCATGTCGAGTTCTGCTATGTGTTTTTCCGTCTTTCCACACGATCAAGTCGTCCATTATTTATGAAATATTGGCAGGGCCGATGAACTATGTGAGGGACAAACAGGCATGAAATAAGATATTTTTCTCAATATAATACAATTTAATACTACCTTATACAATCTTTTGTATTCCAGATCAAGTTGGACTTATAGGATTTTCTTAATTATATTATTATTGTTTTATTTCTGGTGTGCACTCATTTCTTTCCGGGTCGCGAACAGAGACTTAATGTCAAATATAGCGTCATGACATTTTCCACTGAGCAATTTAAAAAAAAAACATTCACACATATTTTACATAGATAAAGCCCATTTCTAAAGTGTGGGCCGTACTCGTGAGAAGATTTTTTGTATTTCTTTAAGGCATGAGCTTCCAGGAATCCCTTCAATGAGTCTACTGGAATCTTTTCCAATCAATCCGAGGGCTCCAACTACAACAGGGATTATTGATTTTCCCATGTGCCACATTTTTAAGATTTCTATTTCAAGATCCTTGTATCTTGATAGCTTTTTGAAGATCTTCAAAGATACATTGCAGTCAGCAGGGACTGCTATGTCATTAAGGGGGAACTTTTTTTGCTCGCGGTCTCTAATGACGATGTCTGGGCGATTAACTTTGTTCTGTCTGTGTGTGTTGTGTAGTCCTATAAAACTGTTACAGATCTTATCTCCATAACCGGATCTGGGTGGTGCTGTGATTATTATTAATATTATTATTATTATTTCCTTTGATTTCTGGCGTTTACACATTTCTTTCCGGGTCCCGCCCAGAGACCTAAGCTTAGAAATGGCATCATGACACTTTCCACTTACAAATATATATATATATATATATATATATATATATATATATATATATATATATATATATATATATTACATAGATAATGCCCTTCGTAAAGTGTGGGCTGTACTTGTCAGAACAATTTTTTGTATCTCCTTGAGGCATGGACTTCCAGGAATCCCTTCAATTAGTCTACTGCAATCTTTTCCAGCCAGTCCTAGGTCTCCAACTACAACAGGGATTGTTGATGTTCCCATATGCCACATTTTCGAGATTTCTATTTCAAGGTCCTTGTACTTTGACAACTTTTTGAAGATCTTTAACGATACATTGCAGTCAGCAGGGACTGCCATATCAATAAGGAGGCGCTTTTTTGTTTGTGGTCTTTAATAACAATATCTGGGCGGTTGGCTTTGATTGTTTTATTATTATTATTACTATTATTATTATTATTATTATTTAAATATTATTTCCTATGATTTCTGGCATGTGCACATTTCTTTCCGGGTCCCGCCCAGAGGCCTAAAGAAATGGTATCATGACACTTTCCACTGACAAAAAAAAATATTACATAGATAAAGCCCTTCGTAAAGTGTGGTCTGTACTTGTCAGAACAATCTTTTGTATGTCTTTGAGGCATGGACTTCCAGGAATCCCTTCAATTATTATTATTAGTAGTAGTAGTAGTAGTAGTAGTAGTAGTAGTATTTCCTTTGATTTCTGGCGTGTACACATTTCTTTCCTGGCCCCGCCCAGAGACCTAAGGTTAGAAATGGTATCATGACATTTTCCAATGACAAAAAGATTTACATAGATAAAGCCCTCATTATTATTATTATTATTATTATTACTTTTGTTGTTTTACAGGTGTCTCTCAAGCAAACCAGCGGCTTTGCAAGTAAGTATTCCATAGAATTTTCTTTCTTTATTCGACCTCAGTTGATGTCATAAAGTCCACAAAACCGTGACGTTTACTGTGAACACTATAATCTTTTCAGTGCCTTAGCAAGATGTGTTGTAACACCACGCCAAGTCGATGTATGGGTTTGAATTCAGAGTTGTCCTTCTCCTAGAATAGTTAATAACTATGCCTAAAAAGCCCAGTCTGCATCGTAAACTAACAAGAGCTTCGAGCTATTTCCAAACCAGCGGAGAAATTGGTTAGAAAATTTAGATCAAAATAAAGAGAAATAAAGATGAAATTCATTGGATAAAAATAAGATGGAAATTCATTGGTTAAAAAAGGAAGATGAAATTCATTGGCTAGGAAAAATAAAAAAAAAATTCATTGGATAAAAAATAAAAAGGAAATTCATTGGTTAAAAAAGGAAGACGAAATTCATTGGCTAAGAAGTATAAAGGAAATTCATTGGATAAAAAATAAAAAAGAAATTCATTGGTTAAAAAAGGAAGATGAAATTCATTGGCTAAGAAATATAAAGGAAATTCATTGGATAAAAAATAAAAAGGAAATTCATTGGTTAAAAAAGGAAGATGAAATTCATTGGCTAAGACATATAAAGGAAATTCATTGGATAAAAAATAAAAAGGAAATTCATTGGTTAAAAAAGGAAGATGAAATTCATTGGCTAAGAAGTATAAAGGAAATTCATTGGATAAAAAATAAAAAATAAATTCATTGGTTAAAAAAGGAAGATGAAATTCATTGGCTAAGAAATATAAAGGAAATTCATTGGATAAAATTAAAAGGGAAATTCATTGGTTAAAAAAGGAAGATGAAATTCATCTTATAGGAAAGAAAGATACAATTTACCATAATTTTCTTCGTTTTTTTTGGGTTTTTTTGTGAATCTTTCAACATTTCAATTATTTTCTTTCTAAATTCTTTCAGTAACTCCAAGATTAAAATGTTCAGGAACACCAGCAGACATTGTATTTGTTCTGGATTCTTCGTCCAGCATGTGGGAACCACATTTCAAGAAACAGTTAGATTTCGTCACGTACATGGTCGACCATCTCGATATTGGAATGGGCCCTGAACAGGTAAGTGAAAAATCCGAATTGTTTCATTAATTTTCACTGATGGAAAAAATAGTTTCCAGAATAGTTCAGATGCAGCACACTGTCACTTTAATTAGACACCTCCAAAACCGTTGTAAGGGACGAACTAATAACCCCCAGTATACAAAGAACTGATACACCTCTAATTAAATGGACTGTTCCAGTAGTAATAGAAGCATCTATGGTGTTGGTCACAAGGGGTTTCCTTTCCAACTTAAGCAAGCATCAAGATGTTGAACTCTCTGCCTTCCCAAACGAGGCTATACCGAAAGACAGAGACTCGTCTGAGGAGGTTGACAAACCCGACATCGTCTATGCGGGGTCTACAGGGAATTTTTGCCCGAGAGTAAGGGCTCTGTCTTGTGCCACGTCATGCCTCGTGGGGAGATCAGGTAAATACTGGCTTGCTTTCCAGCTTATGCTTGGGTAAGCTCAAGAGGTCAAACTCTACGCTTTCGGGCAGAGAGGAACCTAGACGAGACTCTGCCCTGTTACGGTTTTTTGTGTATAGTATGTAACTAGTGGGCCAGTCAAAATGACTTAACTTCCTTTATAGTCTACCAATAGAAGGTTAACCAATCAGAAGCCGCAGAACATTGTATCCGTCGTGTATAAAGGCGGCCATTTTTGTTTTTTACCTACCCGAATGACCAGTGCCAACTTGTCAGGCGAAGATGACAGAAGGAAGTACTACGCTCTGATACGATATCCACTGCTAACCTGAACTACGCTTTCCTACTGTCTCCGGAATATTTATTGCTAACCTCTGGATGCTATACTCGAAGACGACCGTCAAAATGTCTAACATGCCCTTCGGCATAGGCTCGCGGTGAGGTCGGCTGAATATCGTTTGCTTCCCGGCTTCAGACGAACTTGTACATATCTATGTGTATTGTTCTTGCTTAAAATAAACCCTTATACATTGTAAGTTTCCGTTCTAGTAATTCTTTTCAATAACAACCCCGAACATTAAAAAGAAAAAAATCTAAGCAATTTTACTTTAAGCGGTAATTAATTTCTCAAGTTTTTACATTTTGCGACACATGTTTTGAAAATAAAATTCGTGATCGTATATTAAGTTTTGTTTGGCAAACCAAATATAAAATTCAAAATTAATACAAAACCAAAAAAAATAATGTTAAGAAAATTTCAGTCAACTTTATCGATGACCCATAAACTGCTTCGACGCGCAAGTTTACAAAATTAAGCTTTTTGTAAAACTTTGCGAATTGAGGAAATCAAATTTTATTTCTTCAAAAAAGCCACGGAATTAGAATTAAAGTGAGAGGTTTCGTAACGTAATGTTTGAAGATAGGAAAGGTATGAACCCAACTCTTCTCTCCCCAGCTATGGGTTAAATAATAAGACTTGTATCACTAAATGTTGTGGTAGGATCCACCTAATTTGCATAGTGGAGTACCGACCATATAAATATGGTTGGTACCGGGAAGACAAGGAGAGGAATCAAGAGATTCAATCCAGAGACTCTGCTCGGCTGCGACTAAGTCAACACATTCTCCAGGAACGGTCTTCCCAAGAATATACAAAAGACTATATGTAAATATTGTGTACACTTTCTTGTTTCAATACAATTTGTTCTAAGTACATTTTGTATTGCATTATTATTCCATGCATTAGTCAAGTTTCAACACTAAATCATTATCATCTTGCAAAAAATTCTTAGAATCTAAAAAGATTTTCTGGCTTTAAATAACCTACAATAAGACGTAAAAAATGAATCAATCACTCAAATACTGATTAGCTACACAGACATGTCTTTTAGATTTATCTATCTTCTCTGATATAGAAACTACCGTGACCGCATAATGGGGGATCATTTAATATATTGAGTGTAATATAGAATTGATCCCCCACTTTATATCCACATTATAATTTCTTGTAGACATGTCTATTAGATTTATTTACATTCTCTGGAATATGAATATAGAGAAACTACCGTGACTACAAAGTGAGGGATCCGTTTATTTACTGATTGTAATATAAAATTGATCCCCCACTTTATATCCACATTATAATTTCTTATCTATCAAATTATTAGTTATGAATCCACCTCTTCTCCCCCCCAGATATGGGTTAATTAGTAAGAATTGTATCGCTAAATCATTTTTACCTTAAAAAAAGAAAACAATTTTTACAATCTAAAAATATTTTCTGGCTTTAAATAACCTGCAAAGGGTTGATAAACCGTAAAAACGAACCAGTAAAAAATCATACAACTCGGAGGTCGTTTAAATCGTGCTAAGGGGGACATATTTCTTGTTCGTCCTCTCCTTCTCTCTCTCTTTGTATAGGCCGATTTTCTTTCTATTATGTGCCGTGTCCCTTCAGGACGTAGATGACCATAGCTCTCCACTTCTCTCTCTTCCTTGTAGCTCTCCATACGTTTTGTCTTTTTGTTATTTCTCCCAAACCCTGTTCCATCATCCACTTGCTTAAGCCCGCTCGTTGCTTTCTCTTGTCTCTCTTTCCCTCTATCCGCCCTGTGAGTGTTAGATTCTCTAAACCCTCCTTTCTCATTACGTGTCCCAGAAATTTCAGCTAGCTCTTCCTGATGTTAAGTATAAGCTTCCTCCTTGTTTGCATCCTCTCCAAAACCTTATCGTTGCTCACAGGTTCGGTCTATGGGTATCCTCAGCATCCTTCTGTAGAACCATACCTCCGTTGCCTTCTTCGTCTTTGAAGAGACCGTCCAACACTAAAGGAGGACGGATATCATATAGCAGTTCAATGCTGTTTTCTTTGTTACCAACGAAATCCTGATCTTGTGCGTGCAATAATTCTGTTTATTTAATTTTATTAAAACTAGAAACAATTAATTACGTGTTCTTATTTTAACATCTTTTCTTTTTATATTTACACAAGGTCAGAGTGGGTGTTGAAATATTTAGCGACTCAGCCCATGTGAAAATTAATTTGAACGAATCGGCAGAAAAGGAGTTATTAAAAAGTAAAATTTCTCAAATAAACCGACTGCTTGGTGACACAAACACTGCTGATGCTCTCAATAAACTCAGACAGGTCATGTTCAAACCAGAACGAGGCTCGAGGCCGGGAGTGAAACGTGTGGCTCTCATTCTAACAGACGGTGCCTCAATGGACGAAGCTGCAACGCAAGTAGCAGCTAAAGCATGCCGGGATGCAAATATTCAACTCTTCGCTATAGGAATTGGACATAAGACCAGCCTTTCAGAATTGATCGGAATTGCCAGCGAGCCCAAAGGAAAATTCCTTATCCGTGCTCCTACTTACGAACATTTGGACTATATCAGAGATAAAGTTGTTCGTAGAACTTGTTACGCAGGTAAGTTTTTTTTTTTTAAGTATTTTTTTGTTTTTAAGATGTCTCAATCTTTATGCTTAAGAGTTCCATTATCAAGAAACCAGAATTTCATGGCATTAAAAAATAACTTTCAGTCCCATGAAAATACACAAGGGTTATGGCAGGGTTTATGATTTCGTCGTTAGGTTAGATTGTTGATTGGTTTTGTTTAGCGGCATATCAACACCTCTATGGGTTATTTAATGCCGAAATTTAAATATTTTGATTAGTTTGGTTGGTTGTCTTTGTTTAACGGCATATCAACACCTCTATGGGTTATTTAATGGCGAAATTTAAATATTTTTATTGGTTTGTTTGGTTGTATTTGTTTAGCGACATATCAATACCTCTATGGGTTATTTAATGCTGAAATCTAAATATTTTGTACGCATTTCGTGGGGTCGGAGGATAATAATAGTTTTAGTGACACAAGTCTTATTAATTAACACATAGCTGAGGGAGAATAGTATTCGCGAGTAACTGAATATAACGAACCCGGTTGGAATTGGAACTCGGCACTTCTGATCCATTATCCACTACACCACCTACTCACAAACGCCACCACCCTGTAGAGAACCATGATCGCTTATGCCCTGAAGGGACATAGCACATGAAGAAGTTAGAGAAAATGGAAACAAAAAGGAAACATTTACTTAATATCAGGAAGAAATAGTTGAAATTTCTAGGGCAGATAATGAGGAAAGAGGGTTTGGAAAATCTGACACTCACAAGACAGATTGAAGGCACGAGGGACAGAGGAAAACAACACATAACAAACATAGTGGGCTTGAGTAAATGGATCGTGGAGCAGGGTTTAAAATTTATTAAGAGCTAAAAGGGGCAGGAAGTTGTGGAGGGCCATGATCCACTACGTCCCAAGGGGACACGGTGCAGGAAAGAAGAGGTACCTTGAGTTTTGTGTGTGATTAGTCCTTTGTTCGCTCTTTCCTTTAATTATTTTTCTAGAAGTTCCTGCAGTTTCCAAGTTATGTAATACTACTTGTAAAAAACACTATAACTTAAATGTTATGGCGATTTTCTAAACGTAGCTTAGATTTGGCACAAGGTCAAAAGGTATGGAGCACCAAGGCATGAGATGTTATGAGTTCAGTAATTTTGAAGTTCTTTTTTTTTTGTCCGTTTTATGTCATTTATTTTTTATTTTATACAATCGTTTTGCATTTTTCAGTTGTGACAAAACAACCGACAACAACAAGTACAACATCTACACACGCACCCACTACTACTACTACTACTACTATAGCGACGACGACGACGACGCCTGTTCCATCGACCACTGTCAAACCAACCAGTACTTCTTTACCGGAGAGTTCCACAACCGAATCAACAACTACTAAATCCACTACAGCCAAACCAGTAACTTCAAATATAAAACCAACCACTGATTGGTTGATACCAGCCGACAAAAATCAAGATGAACGCGGTAAGAACCCTTTTAAATAGACAAAAAGATTACTATTTTATAACCAAAAAAACACTTCAAATATACCCTCATGTAATGAAAGCCCGCTCAAATTTATAGACGTCTGATACTGCAGCTGAAACAAGGATAGCTAGTAATTGTTGCATAGCCCCCCACGTTCTAGGGGGTCTCTTATTTGATTGTCTTGAAGCGATCATAAAGTTGTCTTCATCTCTTTTCTTTCTTTTCTCGGCCGCGTGATCCCTAATTAGTTATGGTTGAATTATATACAGGCGGCGATGGATAAATTGTCGTCTAAATTACCCAAAAATGAAAGTAACACTGACATCTCATTTTAACAGATATATTTACCAAAATTACACCAAAATATTTTGAAACACTAAAGAGGAAATTTATTCTATTAACTTCAACCATGACCTCCAGACAACTTTGAAATCTCCTGCAACTCTTCTGGATGTTCTCCTTGTTTAAAGTAATGAATGCTGCTATAATCCTTGCCTTCAGATCATCTTTAGTGTTACAAGGAGTTTTGTTAATCTCTCATTCAAATGTACCCATAATAATCAAGGGAGTTGGGGAGTTAAGTGGCCACATGTAAAGGGTGATGTGATCGCAGAAATTGTCTGATAGCTATGACTGGATTCTCCTGTTTGTATGGCATGGTGCAGAGTCTTGTTGCTAAACATAGGGTCTTCCAGGAGCCAACCTCTTGACCCAGAGCAGCACTACCTCCTCAAAGCACTTGATGTAGGCCTCCATGTTGAGTCTGAGGCCCTCACTAACAAATTTGGAAGTTCTTTTCTTATAAGAATGATCAAAGTGAGTTTTCTAAGGTGCTGTACAATCGTAATCACCATTAGACTCATCCAACTCTTTCCGAATCTTCTGCACTGTCCTCAGATTGACACAGAAACACTCTGAAATGTTCGCATTGCATCTTTTGGCCTAAAAGCCAATCAATACAGAATGCCATTTCAAAATTTCTGCCAGAGGGAATTGTGTCATGGTGCTCTTTTTCTCACAGATGGTCCCCAACTGACCTTACTATATTGTACAGTTGGCAAAATCAAAATAAAATAAAACAGCCTGTCGCCTCTGAGTGTTGACTTCAATGTTCATATATATATATATATATATATATATATATATATATATATAGTGCGATGAATAAATTGTCGTTTAAATTATGCAAAAATGAAAATAACACTGACATCTCATTTTAACAGATATATTTACTGAAATTAGACAAAAATACCTTGAACAACTAAAGAGTAAAGGTATTTAATAAAAAACGCCATTGGCTTCAACCACGCCCTCCAGATTCTTCAGGGCGTTCTCCTTGTTTCAGTTGGCGAATGATACCATAATCCTTGCCTTCAGTTCATCTTTGGTGTTAAAAGGAGTTGGTCTCTCACTCAACTTCGCCCCATACATAATAATCAAGTGGTTTGCATCCTGGAGAGTTAGGTGACTAGATGTAAGAAGTGATGTGGGCATAGAAGTTGTCTGACAGCCATGACTGGGTTCTCCTGCATGTGTGGCATGGTGCAGAGTCCTGTTGCCAGACATAGTTTCTTCTAGAAGACCCTCTTCACCCAGGGCAACACTATCTCATCAAGGAACTTGTGGGAAGATGAATAGAGGCATAATATCGCCATCATTAGTAATACAGTGTAACCCGGATATAAGAGACCCGGATATAAGAGAAACCCGGATATAAGAGAAACCCGGATATAAGAGAAACCCGGATATAAGAGACTACTTCTTCGGTCCCGACAACTCTCTTATATCCGGGTTACATCAAATACCTTCGTAATCACCATTAGACTCATCCAACATTTTCCGAATACTCTACACTGTCCTCAGATTGACACCCAAAGACACTGAAATGTTCGTATTGGAGCTTCTGGCGCGAATGCCAAGCAGTGCAACATGCGTTTCCAAATTTCTATCGAAGTGAATTGCGTCATGTTGCTGTTTTACTTACAGACTACTCTGTGCAGACGACAAAATCAAAAATCAAACAACACGCATGCGCGAAATTAAAAATATAAAATGGCGACAATGAATCCATCACACCTTGTGTAAATAATGCGCCTCTACATATTACTGATAAATATCGAGTAACTTTCCTTTTTCTTACAAACTAACATCTAAAAATATATATTTTCCCCTTTTTTTTATAGCCTGCAGAAACAAAGTCGCCGACGTTTTTTTCCTTTTGGACTCTTCCTCCAGCATACGAACTGACGAATTCAAAAAGCAGACCAACGCTATCGAAGATATTGTCAGCAAATTTGACATCGGCCCCACGAAGACCCGAGTCGGCCTGTCTGTATTTACCCATAATTATAATCCCGTGTTGAGTTTTGATTCCGGCGATAACAAAGCAGCTGCCCTGAAAAAAATCCGCCATATCCTGTACATGGGTGGAGGTACGAAGACTGGTAAAGCCCTTCACCAAATCAGAAGTCACGTTTTCAACGAAGCTTTGGTCCGTCCGGGAGCAGAGCGTATCCTTATTGTGTTTACCGATGGGATGTCAAGTGATTATGAAAGGACTTCGGCAGAGGCTAACTTGCTTCAAGAATCAGGCGTAAAGATCTTTGTGGTTGGAATTGGGCCAGATGTCGACCAGATTGAACTTCAGGACATTGCCAGCAAACCATCCACTGAATTTGTGCATACGTTCGCCACTTTTGACAATCTCCTGACGGAATCCGGACTCCTAACCTACAAGACTTGTACTGTTAACGACCAAACATTTACAAAAGACAGAAATGGTAAGTGCTGTTACCTACTTTCTAGAGACAAAATATGAAAGTTTATAAGCATTCAAAATAAGTTTATAAGCATTGAAATATATTTTAAGCATTCAAAATAAGTTTATAAGCATTCAAATATATTTTAAGCATTCAAAATAAGTTTATAAGCATTCAAATATATTTTAAGCATTCAAAAAAAAGTTTATAAGCATTCAAAATAAGTTTATAAACATTCAAATATATTTTAATTTCTGTCGATATTTCTGAGATTAGGTATTATGTACATTATTCGGACTATTGTCCTCATCTTTGTCACCATATTTATTACAACGTTTCGGCCGTTGTACGCTCCGGCCCTCTTCAGGTGGTTGGAATATCGAACTGAACTCTTTATTTCGCTCACTGGGGTAGACTGTTCTAGTTCCACGTGCCATGATTAATGGATGTCAGTTATCTCCTGTTAATTTTCCCTCTGAAAGTTCTCCACTGCCTTAACTGGTTATTGAACTCACACTCTTTGGGTCCTGTCACTGGATCTAACCAACGCCTTTATCCACTGTGCCATGTGTCCTTGAGGATGAATTTCTGGGTATTATAAACCTAATGTCTTCAGCAACCATTTTTATCAGTGCTCATATTGCAATGTTGCTGTTATCATTGCATGTTTTTTTTTTTTTTTACCAGAGTTCATATTGCAACTTTGTTTTTATTATCGCTTTTCCCTGGCACTCTTTATTATATTTTAATTTATCTGAAGAAATTTCGGCCCTTCAATATCTGTCTATATCTCTGAGATGTGGTATTATGTACACAATTTACATTATTCGGACTATTGTCCTCATGTTTGTCGCCATATTTATTACAACCAACTGAAGAAGGCCGGAGCGTACAACAGCCGAAACGTTGTGATAAATATGGCGACAAAGATGAGGACAATAGTCGGAATAATGTAAATGGTGGGGGACATGTTATAGGTTTACAGCTATAGGTTTCCGTGATAGGATTGGTTAAGACGACGCTCATGAATAATGAGCTCTTGGTAGTTTTACTCTCCAAAATTCAGATAATGTAAAGTAAATTTATGTCTTTTATTTATTTCATTCTATTTATTTATTTTTTTTTTTTTTTTATTTATCCAGCCTGCAACGCAACCTGGCCAACCGACATTGTTTTTATGGTCAGTAAGAATCGTTTTGGCCATGAGAAGACACAGCGTATTCTAAAAGCATCAGCTGAAGTTATCGGGAAAGTCGGAAGTAATGGAGTTTTTCGCTTTGGGACAATGTTTGATGATTGCCCTCCTTCACAAGAGATTGCAATTGGATCAATTTCTGACCAATCACAAATGATGCACGAAATCATTAAATTGGAATACAGTTCTTTAGCGTCTCTTCTGGGGAAACTAGACAGCAGTTTATTTCCAAGCACACCTTGGAACGGTCGTAAAGTGGGATTGATATTCTTAGACAAGACCATCGACATAAATGACCCCCGAATCGTATCGCAGGCTCGTCATGCACTTTCTCAAAATATTGAACTTTATGTCGTTATTATTGGCGATGATGTCGACATGAGACGCGTGCAAACTGTTCTTGTGCCAAAAGAACGGATCATTAATGTCTACTCCTATAAAACTCTTGTGTCCTACCTGCCTTTAATGTTTGCCAAAAGGTTTTGCGTTCCTCACCAGATTCCTGACAACAGGAAGCCTACTATTGCGTAAAAGAAGCTCGTTTTAACACCCCTGTCTCAAAACATTTCCAAAATGAATTCGATTCCTTGACTTTTTGACCTCAAATTCTTCCCCAAATTTTGGTTTCGTCAAAGAAAAGAAGAATGGAATTTTCTTTATTTTTTTTTTATATTTATTTGCTAGAATCATTTCCAAAGATTATATATGATATTTATTGGTTAAAGCACTCAAGATCAAAGACTCAGAGCTGTGGTCAAACAATAGACTTCCCACAATGCAATAGAATAACCTCAATGCAACACTGACGTGTATATATATATATATATATATATATATATATATATATAAAGCAGAGAAAACACAACGCACACTTGATAATTGCGTTTCGCCTCTAGCTGTTGACTTCAATGTTCACTTTTCTACTTTATATATATATATATATATATATATATATATATATATATATATATATATATATGAATTTGTAGGTCTGATGAATTGCTTCGTGATTACGATTCCAATGTAATAAATTATAACCTTGGAATATTAGAGTTTGAGCCTTTTTATATATATATATATATATATATATATATGTTACGATATTTTACCGAAAACCTGTTAAAATCGCTACATAATTGCAGTTGTGTTTCGATGCGTATCAATGCATCTTATCAGGCGCTTAGAAATTCGTAAAAAGAGGTTGTATTTTGCTTTTAAATCTAAATAAATCGTTCACTCGCCAGTAATTTGCAATCGCCTAATGAGATGCATTGATACGCATCGAAACACGACTGCAATTGTGTAGCGATTTTGACATGTTTTCACTGTAATATCCTTAAAAAAAACCTGTACTCTACTCGTTCCCATCTGAGCATCACATGGACATTTAAAACTGACACCATATATAGTGTTGATTCCACAGTATATATATATATATATATATATATATATATATTGTCATTCACAGAGAGACTGTTTCGCTGTATCACAGCCCTTCAGTGTGGCTAGACGTCTGATTGCTTCAAGCCGGGATCGAAACCCGACCGATTTGGCATCAAACAGAGATCCTACCCCTAGGCTATCGGCAGAGAGAAAGGGAAATTTTAACGTTTTCTATATGAAATAAACCAGTAGACCGGAGTGCTCAATTCAGTTGAAGAGCAATGCTTTAATAGCAGTAGGAAAAACTCTTTTTAAAATTAACCTTTTCCCAAGAGAGAGCTCAACCGAATTTCCCAGGAGCTATATATATATATATATATATATATATATATATATATATATATATATATATATATATATATATACTACTACTACTAATGTTCTTCATCGTTTGGCGCAATTCTGAATTTCATGCACGTGGCAATCATCAGACACATATTGAAAAGTGACCATTGTAAAATTTATATATTACTGTATATATAATTTATATTTATTACCACCAAAACACTTTACGACATTATATATATATATATATATATATATATATATATATATATATATATATATATATAATGTGTGTAAAGAATTAATTTTTTTTCAATCCGATGTTTTTATTACTTCAAACATTATTCTTGTGGATACTCGTATCTGAAACAGACGCCCCATTTTTATTTTAAAATTTAAAACAGCGAAAAATGCTGGATGCTAGGGGACGTCCTTTCAAATGTCCGGAAAACCGGGGCAACATCTCGACTATTTTCAGACATTTTTAGCGCGTACGGACCCATGCCCGACATCAAACAGATCCTCGTCAAACCAGCAAATCTCAAAATACAAGATCGCAACATACGCGGGATATTTGAGACCGCTCTTTGGGGTCTGGAAAAAAAAATGAACGTACACTATACTAATTTCATGTACACCATTATGAATTTTCATTATTTATTTTTTTCTGTCTTCGAAAAGCATTTCAAGTCTGTGATATGTCATTTGAAACTATTTAATTATTGTATTTATAAATGAAGAAAATAAAAACAGATAATTTACTGATAATTTTACGTATTTTCTTTAAATGTTTAGTATAACGCATTTTACTAATCTTACTTATTATAAAACGCAGATTGTGTGTGTGTGTGTGTGTGTGTGTGTGTGTGTGTGTGTGTGTGTGTGTACGTTTATATATTGGATCGGATTTCCTACATTTTTCAACCGATTTCAACAAAACTTCACAGGACTACGTAAAATTACCTTGCGGTGGTTCTAACAGCGCCAAAAATCGGAAAAACACAATTGTTTTTTAAGGAATTTGAAAACACGATTAAGAGGCATTAATGAAAGGGGGACAGCTCATATCGAGTTATACTTATTAATATCGAGTTATCGAGTTATACTTATTATAAAACCCAGGTTGGATGTTTGTGTGTGTGTTCGTTTATATATGGGATCGGATTTCCTACATTTTTCAACCGATTTCAACAAAACTTCACTTTTTTTTTGGTAGGTAGTGTTTCTTATTGTCTTGCACACTTTTTTTTCTTTATTTTTACATTCAGAATGCTTTAAAAATTCCATTTACAAGATAATTGTTTATAATAAAATTCTATATTCAATCGGTAGTCTCATAACGATTGAAAACAATGTTTTTGTTTGAGTTTGGGTTTGACCAATTCGTAAAAAAAAAACTAAAAAAAAAAAAAAACTAATTAAGACATGCGTGTCCGTCAATCTTAAACAATAATCTTTGTCAATTTTATTTTTCAGTCTTTATGATGGTCGATACTTGATCTATCTCTTACTGTTATATCCCCGGGCAACGCCGGGCTCTACTGCTAGTAATTAATAAAAACAAAAAATAGATAAAAGTGTACATATGACGCCATAATAGTGCTGGGTACAAATTACTAGACAAAATGTTTTAAATTTGCATTGTTTATTGAAAACTGACATTCACAATATTCTTCTATAGAACATGTCCGTGTTTGAAGACTCTTTTTCATATGTGAGGAGATTGTCCAGTATCCATTGCGATCTAGAAGGACTGATATTACATAGCACTTTTAGACATTTTCTTTGTTTCTAACGAAATCTTTCTGTTATTTTTTTAACCGATGGAAGGTATCTTTTTCCATTGACAGATGCGGAGAGCCATAATCAAATTTTCCAACAGCTTCATGTATACGACATAGCAACCAAGAACTTTTTTCTTACCAGATATTTACCGTGATGATTATGGCTCTCCACAATATCCTGTAGATCTTGATAACTTTAGTCTTGTTAAGAGGAAGTGGTTTCAATCCAAAGTTTCCTTCTTCTAAAATGGTTACCACCCAAGGATATAAGACCCAGTCTTCCCTGCTATTTTACCCTAATGTTACTCTGTCTCTCCTCTCAGACGTAGATTTGGTTTTAAGTTACCTTTTCTATTCTTTGCCTAAAGAGACAGGTGGTTTCAATTCAGAGTTTCCTTCTCCTAAACTGGTCACCAACCAAGGATATAAGACCCAGTCTTCCCTGCTATTTTACCCTAATGTTACCCTGTCTCTCCCCTCAGACGTAGATTTGGTTTTAAGTTACCATTTCTAATCTTTGCCTAAAGAGACAGGTGGTTTCAATTCAGAGTTTCCTTCTCCTAAACTGGTCACCAACCAAGGATATAAGACCCAGTCTTCCCTGCTATTTTACCCTAATGTTACCCTGTCTCTCCCCTCAGACGTAGATTTGGTTTTAAGTTACCATTTCTAATCTTTGCCTAAAGAGACAGGTGGTTTCAATTCAGAGTTTCCTTCTCCTAAACTGGTCACCAACCAAGGATATAAGACCCAGTCTTCCCTGCTATTTTACCCTAATGTTACTCGACTCTGCGTTCAATCACTTTATTAATTTTTAAAAGCAATTTGTCAAGGCTGGCTTGCTTGCTTCTTTCTTTCTTTTTCTTTAGAGTGAGATTGTCTGTAGAAGGCCCGGGGGCGCCCAAGATAGATGTTTACAGCTTATTTGGAAAGGAGGGTAAAATAAGATGACAGTTAACCCTAGATTTGAACAGGTAAAGAATGTGGAAACATCCTCCTGGGAGTCGCTTCTACAGGGCATTGGTTCGTCGGAAGAAACACTTCGATGGAACTTACTTCTCGTCGATGGAAGACCCAGGGAATGTCGGTGGTTTACTATAATATGCGTAACCCCGCAGCAGGAGAAACTAAAGAACGCACAGGGTGGTCCGAACGTCTTGTCAACCCTAGACCAAAAAGTCATTTGAACAATAGAACAAGTAATACAATAATACAAAGCTTATGTATTGGATTCAGTTTATTCACTTTCATTGACGCTGTCACACATAAAGAAAGTCTATATGAACACCATCATTTTGTGTCAACCATCTTAAATAGAAAATGATATAATGTAGGAGTGACAAAACTTTCAAACCACTATATAGGAACAGACGAAAGCTTGTAAAATCTAAAAAAAAGACCTGATGCAACTGGAATTTATAAACAGGGATCATATCATTCATATACAGGTTCGGGGTCAGTGTATCTTATTAAAATTGTTTGCAAAGATGTATTCTCGCCATTTAAATCATTAACCTCTATATTTGTTTTTTGTATGAATGATTCATGTAATTATAAAATAAACTGCACCTATACTTGAAATTAAAATAACTGATCCAACGTGCAACTTTCGGATAATAACTGTGACATTCCTGTAATTATCGAACAATATAGTTCATGTCACAGTGACTGCAAAAACCTACCAGTACAAAAGAATTATCCTATATTACCATATTAGTACAAAAACGCACAATCTTAAAATTTAAAATTCAAACTCAGCGTTGCGACCGCACGTTCCAAAAGAATAACTCATTACTCATAGCTTTTTTTTCGGATTACATCTATATTTTCGATATATTTATCTTTGATAATGGCTTATGTAAGCCGAAAGCTTAGATTGGATTTAAAGATGTATCAATATAGTGATTTCCTTTCGTCTTTCAATGATAATGTTATTAAACTTATCAGACAATTTGAAAGGAACTTACTTAAAATAAATAGACAAAATTTGTTTATATCATTTAATGAAGCATGCATCAA